CTTATCCCAACGTACCTCGGTTGTAGATATTCTTTCACGAACGAGACGAGTGTTGGTTGTCTGCAATAGCCAGAGGCAACTCAGTGGTGGCAACAAATTTCACCATTCCGGTTCGAGTCTCGTCCTCCAAATACACCTACGTGGATAGGGGTGAAGTTGTAGAATCGGTGCCTGGACTGCCAAATTGTAATTGTGTTTGACCAGCTGGAAGAAGTCTATGTCTGATTGCACATGATTTGTAGTGGCGGTTGAGATGAGTGGTACCAATTCCTTTTTGCCATGCCAATCTTTGTTGGCAGTATTTACATACTGTTTTAGATTCTACAAGACCATCAATGACTTTTCCTGTTGAAATCAACTTAAAGTGATCCCAACATTTTGCTTGTTTTTTGGCCTTTCGCTTTCCCCTCGCATCTGAGATATTTAATTGCTGATCTTTATCTTCATGTTCTGCTTCGAGAATGTTAATATCATCCAAATCAATTGGAGTGTGGCTTCCCTGACCGTGAATGTGAACATCTTCTAGTATCAATATGTCATTTAGACCAGCAAATTCATTTCGAAATTGACTTTGCGGCGTCCTAGGTGATTCTCCATGATGTGGCAATGGCTCACATCCTGTATCGAACAAGTTCTTAACAAATGAACGATGATCCATTTCTGTGATTGTTTATGATGAAATCTTGACTAGATGAATATAAATGTAGTGAGATTGTGAGGATTGAGAATTGGATGAATTGAAATTGTAACTAATAAACTGTAAAAATTGAATTGATATTGTATATTTTGCAGCACAAGAGAGTAAAAACTCGATAATTGATATAATAAAAGAGAGTTGAGAGGGTTGTAATCTTGGAAGAGCAATTGATATGAAAAAAAATCTTTGGGGAAAGGGGGTATTTATAGTAAAAAAGGGGGGAAAAAATAAAAAATAAAAGTTCAGTGACTAGAATGGTCACTGAAAAGTGACCAAAACGGTCACTTTTGTGATCGTTTTGGTCACAGGCTCAACGAGTCGGGCCCACGAGCGACTCATCTACAGCTCGGCTCGCCTCCGGACGAGGCCCGCTCGGCTCGTACTCGGGCTTGTGATTTCACGAGCCCGAGCCGCCCACGAGCCTCTTTTTTACAAGCCAAGCCGACTCGGCCCAATTTACATCCCTACGCCTAGGGGTCTGGAGGGGTTGGGGTATTATCCTCAACATCCTGGGTTGTCGGTAATATCCAGACTCCAGCAGACTCAGACAACCTCCGCAGCTCCTTCTTCTGCCCCTCCAGTGCCAGGCCCCTCCAGTGCTACCACATAGACATCCTGGGCTACGATGTCAAACTCGGAGAACTCCTTCCAGGCCTCCACCGCTCTGTCAACCTTGGCCTCAGCCTCTTCAGCCCTTTTGGTGGCCTGCCTTGCCCTTTCATTGGACTCGTGTACCTTCTGGATGGTCTCTCTGACTTTGCCGCGCTCCTCCTCTGCCCGAGCTCTTGCCTCTTCCTTCGAGGCCCTCAATGCCTTGATCTCCCCCATCAATCTCTCCTCGACATCGATCATGGAGTTCAGCTCGATCCCCATCTGATTCAGCTTCTCTTCATACTCCTTCTCATTCAGAGCGAACTGGGCATTTTCAGCCTCCATGCTATTATAAAGACCAAAGGTCTGATCCTTCGCCTCTATGAGTTTGTCCAGCTCAGACTTCACCTGTTTTTCAAAAATCAAAAATCAAGTAAGTCATTAAAATAGTTATAAAATTGATTAAAAATCAAGTAAGAGGTATACCTTATCCGCCAGTACCATCATGTATAAAATTGATCGGTGACCATGGAGCTAAGCAGTAACCAAGGCCTCACCAATGGGCATCTCATTTAGATAGCCCTGCTCTCTCTCACCCCAGCTCCAGGTAGGCAGATTGGCTGACCCCCTCAATGGTGAAGTGAGCGTGGTAGTCATTCCTCTGGAAGGAGAAGGAGCTTGGAGATAATCTAAAAATATCTCTGGTCGGTGTCCCACCAAACTTTCTCAGCTCGACCTCTATAAATCTGGGCACCTACCCTGGAAGTTCGCAGAACTGGTCCTGACAGCAGAGGGTATAGCTGGGGAAGGGAAAGAAGGAGACAGCAGGGTAGGGCTTGGTAAAGGCACTACCTCAGGAATCCTTAGTGCTATCGGGGGCACAGATCGATTCCTCTTCAATGGAACCTCCTCCTCTACCTCTTTAGAATGACTCTTCAACCATTCTGGGATATCTCTCTTTTTTCCTTTGGCCACAGTCAATGCCTTTGCTGCCTTGTAGCCCGGCATCTCGTCTTGATGCTCTGAGAAAGCAGTGAAACGCTCAATAAATATGTATATACATAAAGAAACCACAACCGTGAATGAGGGTCAAAATATTACCTGAGCTGGATGGAGCCGAACTTGAAGCTCGTACTTGCAACAAATCGGCCCGGTAGAAGTTCGAATCTGAGATCACAAACTTACAGGACCTTTGCTTTTTAGGTAATGATCTTATTACCTCAGCTCGTCTCTATGTATCTTTGGTTAACGTCTCCTTCTTGTAATCTGCACAAAGGAAAAAATATCGAGGTTAGTACTTCGTCAACATACGTCTCGCTAAAAGACTAAAGCCCAAAAAGACACTTATATAAAGAATGATAGAGCCTGGGAACCACGTCCTCCCTATTCACCTCGGCAGAATGAAACTGCCACTCTCCCGATACATAGAACCACTCTTCCTTCCATTTCTTAATTGAGAAAGGGGGGGTGTCTAACACGGGAGAACCTCCCGTCCTGGTCCTAACGCTTGTGTACCACCAACCTGAGTTTTTCCCATCCTCTTTAAAAGTAAACAGAGCGTCGAGCTGCTGGACACTTAGCTCGGGATTCCCCATTTGGTTCCACAGAATAAGGGTGGCTATTAAGGTTTGCCACCCGTTAGGGCATAGCTGCGTGGGGACTATGCCCCTGGAAGAAAGGAATTTATGAACCGCCCTAGGAAAGGGAAGCCTAAGATCGGCCTGAAGGATAGCTGAGTTCAGAGCAACACATCCCTTAGGAGGAGTGTCAGCCCGGTCAGATGGTTCTGGTATTATCATCACTATCGAACTAGAGATGGCGTATTTAGCTCGCCAGCTGGCTAATACATTCCCTGTTACAATCGACCTATAAGAACTCACCCCCCACTCCCCAGAATTACTCTCCTCAACATCTTTACTGGATCTACCTGCTCCTTAGGAACCCTCACATCCGAAGTCCATGACAGGACGCCCTAAGACGATCAGGTTAATTATGGAAATAGGAACAGGGGTAAAAACTTCCCTACAACTAGAAGACAAAATCATCGAGAAGGAGATTGACTCTTCCTGCTGGTTGCCCTAGGAATGAACTCTAGACTCATCCGAACTCACGTGTAAATTAGGAAACAAAGTACAAACTGAAAGGAGGAAGCATATAAGAAATAAGAATACCTGGGAAACGAACTGGGAAAACGACCTCACTCGAATATGGAAATACGAACTTAGGAGATTGCCCGAATATTTGAGAAAGTAAACTAGCTAAATAGGAAGAGAAATGACTGGCCAAAAAGAAATTTAAAGAAAGAGAAGTTGAGAGGGCGCGATCTGAACCGTTCATCTAGAAATGGAGGGAAAAAAATCAACGGCTCAAAAGCCTGAGAAACAAAATGACGTAGTTTTAGCCAAGCTTGCTGAAGAAGCTACTTATAAATGGCGTACAGCTCATCCACATCAAAAGATGACACTTGTCACAGCAATGAATGTACTTCTTGGATAAAGCATCACTGAGGTCAGCCTCCCTACGGTAGAGCTGACTTAGGGGGTAACTGTTGACATCCGAACTCCAACCCAGTAAAAAAGTTCGCTAATCCCACTTCAGTTAAATGTAAGTTCGGCCCATACTCCCAGGTCAGACAAACCCGTCGTTATCTCAGAAAAAATATCATGATTACCCCTTGTCACATCACCCCATCAATCATATACACTTGCCACAGGTGACATCATCGCCACCCGGAACAACCAATTCCAAGTCCTCGAACTCCAGCCCCTTGCAGGTAATCATTACCTGGGTAATACATTGACACATGACCACCAGCCTCATCGACCAATTACAGGAGAATTTGGCGACCCGAGTTTCGAGTTCGGTACTGTTGCTGATTTGATGTAATTTCGGCTGAAACTATATATAAATAGTTGAATAGAACTCTTGTAACAGACAAGTGAATTCATAACAACTTATGACACAATCACACTTAAAAGACATTTTTTGTGGTCTTTTTCAAGCATAAATCACCTTTTTCTTAAAGTTGGTTCAAAATTATCCTTACTAATTTTGACATCAACAAATAACATTATTCATGAAGTTTAGCCCCCGTTTGATCCTCATTTTCTAGAAATGAAAATGAGTGGAATAATATTTTTTTGAAAAATAAGTGATTGAAAAAGAAAGAAAAATTTTCAATTTACGTGAAATATTATTTTATGAAAAATTGTGTGGTTGAAAAATAGAAAAATAAAAAATGAATTATAATAATATGAAATTTAATGGGACTAAACGAGACGTATTTAGGCAAAGACATTTTTTGTGGTCTTTTTCAAGCATAAATCACCTTTTTCTTAAAGTTGGTTCAAAATTATCCTTACTAATTTTGACATCAACAAATAACATTATTCATGAAGTTTAGCCCCCGTTTGATCCTCATTTTCTAGAAATGAAAATGAGTGGAATAATATTTTTTTGAAAAATAAGTGATTGAAAAAGAAAGAAAAATTTTCAATCTACGTGAAATATTATTTTATGAAAAATTGTGTGGTTGAAAAATAGAAAAATAAAAAATGAATTATAATAATATGAAATTTAATGGGACTAAACGAGACGTATTTAGGCTTTGGATACATATACTACGCCTTGAAGCAAGTTCTGTTGGCACTTTGTTGTATATTGGAATCCCCAAAACTTGACAACAAAGGTTGCATACTGTGGTCATCGTACAATCAGATGACTTGTTACATCATTGGACAACTGTATAAGCACACGGCCATAATATCAGCCCCCCAACACCCCACAGCCTTCAACCCCACTCAATCCTGTGTTGTCTCCCACCGCCCCCAAATGTGCCCTCTAATCTCAACAATCCCACGAACCCAAAACCCTGCTTAAACTCAATAAATTCCCCCGAACGAAAATTTTTCTTGCCCTCGTTTTCCATTAAAAACAAAATCAAGAAAATGCCCACAAAGTAATGGTTCTGAATTCTCTGAATCTTGGGTTCTTGCAGTGTTTGTGTACTAAAAATTCCTCAGAAACTCTCTTTTACTTTTCAGCCCCGGCTTTTCCTGAACTCTTGCTTCCATGTTTGGGCAAACCCTAGATCTGTCCCCCTCTTAGGTAACAAGCCCGCGCACCGTCTTTGCCGTAATCTAGAGCAGTGCAGGTGTGCGTGTAGATTCTGTTTTTACATTCTTGATTTTTTTCAACTGCAGCTTTTGAATAAATACTTTGTAAATCTTGCATTCAGTTTATTGTTTTTAATTTTTCTCCTGGCACAAATACACAGACACACAAGTACACTGTACACACTCTATATGCATATGTTGGTTGTGTGTTTACTGACTGCTGTTCTGTTATTTCTGGGAACAGACATTTGTGGAAGCTGAAAGGAGGTATATTGATTGAAGAGTTTTTGGTGCGGGTTGAAATAGGGGAAGAGAGGGAATTAATTTGAGTGAAAGATGAGTGGGACTGGATCAACGTCAGTAGCGGTGGGGATGGGGGGAGCAGGAGGGGAACTGGGGTATGTGAGGTACAGACCACCATTTACAGCAGTTCAGTGGCAGGAACTGGAGCATCAAGCCATGATATATAAGTACCTTGTGGCTGGCTTGCCAGTCCCACCTGATCTTGTCATCCCTATTCGCCACAGCTTGGAGGCACTATCTGCGCGGTTCTTCCCCCACCCATCTTGTAATAGTCTCTCTTTCTGTTTATCTATATAACTATGTTTGTACACACTTAAATATTATACACACGTAGAACACAGAAGGCAACTGAGTACTTATGTCAATAGAATGCTCTTGCTACAAAAAAGCGGAAAGGCTGGATGAGTGTTGAATCCGTAGATTCGAGAGACAATGGTCCTCTTATGTTAATTCATCAATTTTGCACGTCGACTTATTTGAGCCAATGGAAGCTTGTTTGCTTTCAATAGCAAGTTTCTTGCTCACATTTGTGAGTGTTGGTTTTTGTTATAGTTTTATGTAGGTGAATGAAATTAGTTCTTGTCTTTATTTCTATTTGTAACTTAGGTCTGGAGTAAAAAAGCAAAAGGTGGTTGGCTGTGCTTAGATCACAATCTGAAGCTAGAAAAAAAAGGAAAAAAAGTGACTGTTCATGTTTCTTTATCAATGTTCATAAATTTCAAATAGAGTGAATGACTTAAATGATGTTTTTCTTTCCTATTGAACTCTTGGGACTTGATTTTGGATTTTTTACATGCAGCGGGATGTTGTTCCTATTTTGGGAAGAAATTTGACCCTGAGCCTGGGAGATGTCGGAGGACAGATGGAAAGAAATGGAGGTGCTCCAAAGATGCGCATCCAGACTCCAAATATTGTGAGCGGCACATGCACCGAGGCCGCAACCGTTCAAGAAAGCCTGTGGAAAATCAATCTACTTCACAATCCTTGTCAACTGCAATGACAGACATCACTAGTGGGAGCAGTGGTAACGGTGGAAGCTACCAAACCGGTGGCAGTGTAAGCTTCCAAAACATGCCCTTGTATTCTGCTAGTTCAGAAGGTTTGTCTTTTGGGAGTAATGTGACTAAGCTGCAGATGGAGCCTGTATCCCATGGGATCAATAACAAAGAGTACAGGTAACTTAGTTGAGCTTAGTTTCTTATTTTATGCTGGAAACTATATAATGAAATAAGAACTGGACACCTCGCTGGTCCATCTGTTTTTGCCTAGCATCAAGTACAAATTTGTGATAAAATCTGGATATTTGTGCTGCAACTTTGACTCTTAGCTAACTAAATAGACCCGGGCCTTGTTTACCGAAAGGGAGTAATTCACATGCCATCCTAGAAACATACCTTTTTGTTAGGAGAGTAAAAACAATATTGCCTTCTTTATATGATAGTCCTGCAAAGGGACCAGGTTGATAACAGGAATATATTGTGTCAATTGTTTGAGTTATGCAAGGATAGAAACTAGAATGAAAAAAATGGAATCATTCTCCTTGCTAAACCTTTTTAAAGGTGAGCAAATTCGAATATAAAAGAAACCAAGTCCCTGATCATTCAATTTATTTCCGAATTTATGTTCTACAGAAACAAATGAATTCCGACTTGCATTATAATGTTTTACCCATCTTCAGCCAAGGGGGGTTATTAAAGTTCTTATTCTTACCTTGTTGAGTAAATTTCAATTAAGAACTCCTTTTCAATTGAGATGAAAGATAAAACAAAAAGATCACTTAAGAACTCCTTTTCTAAGGATTATATTAATTTCCAGCTCTGCTTGTCACTCGCAGAACGTTGGACTTCTTGACTGAAAGACCTTTACCAAGGCCTTTATTCGAAAAGAATACATTCTTCAACAGTGATTTGACATCATTTCAACCACACATTTTTTAATAAAAACAATATTACACGCAAATTCAAAACATTTTCTTATTTTTTAACCACACATTTTCCACCAATATTCTATTCAAAAATGCATTTTCATTCCAATAATGTGGCTCAAACAAGGGCTAGATAAGATTTTATGAAGTATGGCATCATAAATGGGGTTGGGGGTGGGGTACAAGTCTGGTTATGAAGTATCGTCTTATGGAACAATGTAGCAGATTTGACTAAATGAAGACATGTTGGATCATGAGAATCAAATTAAAACATATTCCCACTGCATTTATCTGCACAAAACAAAGACTGTCGAGTCACTTTACTACCATGCCCAGCTAAGATCCCCTGTTCACGTTTTCTTACCTGTATTAACTGTAACTGTCTGATTGTTTTCCCTTGTGCTTCTGACCTAACCTCTGTATATTTCCTCTCTTCATTTAAGTCCATAATTCTTCTCTCAACCCTCCTCATCCAACCATAATATAACCCCAGTGAATTCCCCAAAATGCTCGATCTCTTTCCCATTTCACCTTTAGAAAATACCAATATTACTTGAGTAATAATATAAATTCATTGTGGAAGTTATCTAAATACTAATGATATGTTTCGTATAGATTTTTGAAAAGCTGGTTTGTAATTTTTTTTGTAAAGTTGGTTTCTTCCAACTTAATAATTGTGCTTCTAAAGAAGTATCTTTAGATTGATTACAAACCAACCAGATCTGCACGACGTTCCTGCTCTATGTCGCTTATCTAGGATTATTTGCTTCTCAGAAAGACACTCGTATTGACACAAGTACATAGCGTCCAGCACAATATCTGTATACTTCTCAATCTGTTGTTTTGGTTTGTGCATAATTCTACTTGTTATGTCAGATCCAATGTTTATACCAGATTTTATCGTGTCAGGTCCTTTTTGGTATATTTCTTCCAGTTGTATAACAGTTAGGGTAGCTCATCCAACTACCACATTCTTTTTTTCACCAGAGGAATGATATTTTTGGCAGATCTATAATGAATGCCTGGAGTTATCATTTACCTTGTAAAAATAGTTGTTTTCTTTCCATTCTATATTTTAATCTGCCATGATGTTTTTAGTCTTGGTGATATGGTTGAGATCGCCCCTCATTTTTTAGTTTTTAATTACTCGAGGTTCAGAAAAAGAAAGTCTGTAATTGCTAAATAATGTCCCTGGCACTTTGGTTCCTGTTACTGAATGTTGCTTAATTTGTCATTGTGGGGCTGTTAGCAATATTGACAGAATCAGCACTGATCATTAGTCTGATACATGGGTGACCCAAACTATGGATAGAGCTTGTAGGATTAAGTGTTAAATGATGATTTTCAAGATTTACTAGCTTCTATGTGTTATCACGTGTGTACACTTGGAAGGAAGATGTTACTACAGCTTTTTTCCTTGTGACAAATCAATCAAACTGAAGTAGAGCAAATTGAATGAACTGACTTCTGAAAATAAACTGTTTGAGCTCTGCTAAGGATTTAGTATCTTCTCGATATCTATGACGCTCGAGGGCAAGTTTTAGTTTAGTTATTTAGTTACATCAATTACATGTAAATAAAATGTACAATTTCTTGATCTCGTGGAATGAGAAACACAGATTTTATATTTAATTCCTCCATCACCTTAGCCTTTTAGACTTGTCTCAGCTTATAACATAAGTTCGACACAGGTACATTCATGGACTAGCTCCTGATGCTGATCGGAACACTCTCTCCCCAGAAGCTCCTGGAAGCATGGGAGGCCTCAAATTGGGCTCTGGTGTTGGTAGTGGCTCATGGTATCTAACAACTTCTCAACTTCCGTCAAGCCCTTCTCTTAAACAGAAATCTGATTCTCAGTTTCTGGGCCACTCGTCCCCCCAACTACATATGCCGCATGCCTTTGTGCCTATTGACACCATGATGTCAAAACAACATCAGCAACATTGTTTATTTGGCAGTGATATTGGTTCACCTGGACCAGCAAAGCAGGAGCAACATTCTGTGCATCCCTTCTTCAGTGAGTGGCCTACAGCTAAGGAATCATGGTCCAATTTGGATGACAATGAACCCAATAAAAACACATTCTCTACTACCCAGTTGTCCATCTCAATTCCAAGGGCATCTTCAGAATTTTCTTCAGGGAGTGGTTGTTCCCCAAATGGTGAGTTTCAAAAACTCTAGTGAATCAACACTTGAGCTCATAAATCATGTGTAGTACGCAATGCTTAACAAAACTAGACAATAGGACAAACAATTTTAATTTCTTAATATTGTCGAGCATTATCTAATCCTTCCTATTGAATCTAAAACCTGTGTATTGTGCTGGATGCAGATGCTTGAAGGTGGATAATTATAATAGTTATTCCGATCAGTCTGCTGGTGAATCAAGAGCTTATGTACTTGCATGTTGTTTTTCTGGGACATTGGACAAATCTTCTTGTGGTGTAAAACTCGTGGATCCTCTGAGTTCAGCACAGGGAATAAATGTATTTTACTGGCAACTTATCGCCTAGGAGCTTATATTATCTGCTTCGCGGCAAGTTGTGGGATATCTCTTGCAAAAAGATCGTGTTTTTGTAAATTATCCCATCAATTCGGGCGCATGTTTTAATTAATTTCATTAGATGGTTTATGCTGATGTCTTGTTCGTAGTTCAAACATCAAACGCTGTGTAGCCTGTAGTGTTGTTCTATATCTGCTCTTTAGAGACAATTGTGTTTGATTCCAACAAGAAACATTGTTTTGGAATGTGTTTTATTAACTTATCCTTTGGGATTGAGCCGAGTTGAGCTTGCATGCTATTAAGTTCCTATTTGGGCTCCATCTTTCCAAAAATTCATTTTTTTTTAAATCTCATTATAAACAATATATTCTTCAATAAAATAATTTACACACAAATCGAAATTTTTTCTTACTTTGTAATTACACGTTCTTCAAAAAATTACTATTTTAAAATACATTTTTCCTCTCATTGGTGTGGTTTAACTCGATCAGATCTCATGGCTTTAGTATGGCCACCGATTCGATTTGGTTCAAGTCTGAACACCTATTTCGATTGGCTTTAATCATGAACTGGTTAGTCTTGAACAACATCTTGACACACACATATATTGGAATCTTGTTCAAATCAATATTATCTATTTAGTCAATGTGTAATTGTTATAGACAAGTAATGCAGTGTGTCCGTTCTTCCATTTTTCTCGCTCGATCTTACTATACAAACAAGGTTAGTGACTGGAATTTAAAAATAGCAAACACGTGTCAAAAATTCATTGGACAGTTTGAAAAAAAAGGGAAAAAGAGCCACACTGATGTTTCAACACGGTAAAAACCTTGTTAAAAGTCCCTTTCAAGCTTCAGATCTCGTAAGTGTTCCCTTTTTACATTTTTTTCTACAATTTCAAAATTCCCGCCTCTATAAATACCCAATTTTCCTCTCTTCGAAACCAAAACGCGCAAAAATTTGCAGAGACCCCAAATATGAGGAAGGGAACAGCTAAGAGATCAACCACGGCGGAGCTCCTCGCATCACCGCCAGCACCGACGTCGAACACGGTGGCAGCGAGGAGCCCCACCTTGTCACCACCAGAATCTCCCGTGAAGCAATTCGAGTTCAATCTCAATGGATTTACCACCTCAACCACCAAACTGACATCACCGAAGAAGAAAAGCTGCAAAAAAAGCGGTGCAAGTGCACCAGACTCCAAAATGAAGCAGCCTACTGGAATTTTGCAGCCGTCGCTGAAAAGCGTGAGCACAATTTCTGATCTGAAGGATCTGGCTTCTTCTAAACTGGAATCCATCAAGTGCCAGCTGGATTCATCGCACTCTGAAATTATGAAGGACTTGGAAGCATCACAGCATCGTCTCCAGAAGCGGCTTAAGGTCTTGATCATTCTGAGTGTTATGCATAATATTGTGTATATAGACATACATGATTGTATGCAATTATAGATTTCGTTTTTCAATTTTTAGATTAACGAGGTCGTACATAATTTGTGAATAATTTGAATTCTAAATTGTGATTTGATTTCTAATTGCAGAATGATTAGGACAGTTCGAATTTCTAATTTTATTTCTCTTTGTAACATGAGACATCCTTACTCCTTTGATTTTTCTAATCTCTAATTATAGGACAAATATTTAGTTGTTGATCTGTCTTCTCAGTTCTCACAGTGAGAGTGTGTGAGTTTGTGCAAAACTGAAATGGTACACAGTATAATAGAACAATATTATATGCTCTAATTGCTTGCAGATATACAAATGTACAAAGTCTCATCTGCATTTTTTACCTTTTAAATTATTGAGGCAATATTGGCGTTTTCCTAGAATATTTGAAAGAAAACAATAAGATGGTGTGTTAGGTACTGAACTCAATGTTTTACTATGTTCCTTTATGCTTGTGACTGGAGAGTGAGAGGGACTTGGAGTATGTGCTTTAATTGTTTGCATAAAGGAGCATTTGTTAATTCCTAGAGGTCTGTCTCCTCTGCCTACACAGGTGTGTGTTTTCTTCATTTTATGCGAGAAAATGGGATGCTGCGTTTCTCTTTTCTATTGTCTATAGGCGAAAACATCCATGATATCTTGTTCTTTTGATAATTTGAGAAGGGTTATTATTTTTATTTTTTTTCCAACTGAATAGTTTTTTATCTGCTGGCTCTTGATATATTGTAGTATGGTGATTTGATTTACTATACATTTGCATTTTGTATGGCGTTGAAACTGCAATTTATTTAAGATGGATGCTACAGTGGAATTGACCTCATTCTTCATATGTATGTATATACATGCATAGACACATTTGTATATGAAGATGTGTTTTCAATATATTTCATTTAATCACATGGAAGACACCGACATACATATGCTTATGTGTTCTCCTCCACTATGAGATAAATGTATCACTTATCTTTTACTGCCCTTCGAACAATTGGAGCACTCGGTCCACTTCTCTTATGATATGTTTTGTATACTTGTATTAATGTATGGAAATGGATGATCATTCGAAAGCATATAGCTAATGATATTTGAGAGCAAGAATCTGAATTGACTATTAACTGTGGATCAGATGTGTTGGCTTGCATTTTAGGCATTGTTTCATGATTATAAAGATGATGGATCTTCTCTCATTTTTGTTTACCGGAACTTCTTTGACATTCATGTAATCTCATTTTTCTACAATACAGTTTCAGGGTTTATCTATATTTTCTGTCAGGAGTTAACTGCACTGAAACTGTTACTGTTTTATTCTTAATCGTTCTCAATTGTACAACCAAAATAATGCTTGCTGTCCTTTTATATATTTTTTCTCTTGGAAACCTATCAACAGCTTCAAAAACAAGCATGTCAGCAAGTAATGGATGAAGCAGAAAAGGAATACAAAAAGATGTCTGAGCGAATAAATGAAGGTCGAGATGCGATGAAGGTGCAGATTCGTTTTCTCCCTGAAAATCATCATTACTTGGACACTAAAATACTGTCAAGTCCCACCAGTTTTGCAACCTTTTAACTTTATGCTTTATTTCAGGCTTCATATGTGGAATTCTTAGAAGCAGCACAGGCTAGTGCATGTCGCTGTAAGTTAGTCATCTTTAAAAGCCCTTGATATCAATGTTGATTCCAGGTTCTAACAAGCTGCTGATTTTCCTTCAAGATTATATAGGTTTCTTTCTTTTTGCCAAAGACACGAATCACACACACACAAAGATGTAATATACAGAGTAAGGTGCAGTATTGCATTAGCTTTTTCGCCTGAAATAAAATTTGTTGGAGGCCCATATGGACGTCATATAACCAAACAGGGTATGCATATACAGAATGCCTACAGCATGTAACAATAATTCCTTGAGCATTATTTGTTTATAATTTCAGTACTTAAAACATCTATCCCGGAGCTTTCACAATCCTTTGAGAAATCTATTGATACACTCAAGAGTCGCTATGGGATCTCATCAACTGCAGATTGACAGACGGAATTTTCACCCTTTGGTGAGTGAGTTTTAAAGCTTTGATGACTTTCTCTTACAATTTCTGGGACTAGTATAGCTCTTTTTCATTTTATTTGAAGTGTATTACCACTGACATGCAGTCCTCATCTGACCAATTCAGACTTATATATGGTCAATAGATCAATAATTTTTTTATTCAGAGGCTCAGAATTTTAAAAAATAGTCAGTCAAATTGAAAAAGGATAAAGAGTGACTAAGAATGGAATATGAGTTGTCTTTTTTAGCTATATATTATGTAATATCCAAGTACCGTTACTGAAAAAATATAAATAAATGAACAGATTTATATCCTCTTAATAGCTTGAACTTTTAGATTAATACAATGACGAAAGTTTATGTGCTTTAAAATTGCTTTAAATAACCTATTAACTCTGTTATCTTAAATCTAAGCCTTGAGTAAATTAATGAAATGTTCGGTGAGAAGAGAAATTTAAATTTTGTCAATTATGCTATCTAGTCCTATTTAATACCGTATACAAGCATGCTCAAGTTTCTATATTGTGCATTTTATTTGTCAGGAATAATTTCTCCGGATTTGCTGGAACTGGGAGGTCATTTTAGCCACTAGTGTCAATACTTTCTGCTTGTATAAATCAGATTCTCCGTTTGGCTGTTGAATTGGTTAATCAGCAGCTTTCTTAGGCTAGTTAACGACATCTAGTTGTGGCATTCATGCTTTATCGTGTCATAGACAGATAGTTACATATTTCGAGTCTTGTATTGTTACTTTAAACGTTTGGCACTTTCATAACATTTAAAAATGAGACGCCAAGATATCAAAGTAACCTATAACAAGAAAAGAGTATCAGCATATTGAATACGAAGTTCTATAACATTCAAACATTACAAGAAGTGTGACAAGGGCATGAGTTAGGAGTAAGAATTCTCCCTTACACTGTCTTTGTTTAATTTATAACAATAAATACACTCCCATTCTGTGATTATTTTAAAATAAAATAAAATAAAACTAATCAACTAAAAGAAAAACGAATGACTCTATAAGTGTCTCCGTGTCAATAAGATTTGATACTCCATCTCGACTTCCAATTCTTGCCTTTGCTAGGGACTTTTCTAAGTCCTCATACATACAAATAATGATAAATAGAATGTAGATCATTGTTGAATTTAGTAATAACAAAATAGGATTGTTAAGTTTGTGTTTCTCACCTTTTTGAAGAAAATTGGATGTTTTTGATTAAGGCACCCTTCATTTGTGAGACGTAAATAACCTTGACATGAACTCAAATTCCTCGACTGCAACCCAAAAGGAACGTCAACATTTCTTCCTCGTAGGAAAATTTGTAATCCTTATTTCATTTGTTGATCTCATTAACGGAGACAATCCCTTTGCAGTTTTTTCCCTTTTTATGAAATGGAAAAGGGAATGATATTTTCTTTATTTTTTATTTGGTCCGTAAAATAGGAAACAATAATCGCATGATATGTGAACATAAGTTCCAAAGTTTATGTTGTGATAGTAATAAACAATAAATAAATAAATAAATAAAAATAAAATTAATATTTTGTACAAACATGTATTGTATGATCAACAATGTTACAAGTAGACCGGAGTTCACAGGTTTTTTTGGTCTGATGCCAAGTGTCAACATTGCGTTGGCCTGTTAATCTTTTTTTATTTTTCCATCATCCAATTCAAGAATACCACCTCTTTTCCTATGAAGCTCCCCTTTACGTATTTTTTTTTTTTTTTTTTTTTTTTTCTTTTAAGATTTAGCGAAAAGAACCTCGAATCCTGAAACTTTTCACAAGAAAGATCAGCGTCCTTTTTAATCTACAGAAAATTATAACACAAGAATATTTAGTTAAAATTTTAATTTTTTAGAATGATAAGTAATCAGTACTTGCTCAAACTCTTACCTCTAATGCATTTTTCACCTCCGGTATCAAGCTAACATGCTCGATTGCCATGTTATAATTCATAACCTACAGAATTCATGTAAAATTAAACAAGATGTGTATATTGATTAAAAGGGGAAAAAAAAAAAGAAAGAAAGTAATTTCTACAAAAATAAGAAGCATATATTAGGCCGTGCTCCGCATAATTCTTAGCATCTGCCTAAAGAAATAACCTAGAATTGTTTTCATTTGATTTGTACACGAAGCCATCTGGGCTGCTACATCATCAGAAAATTTGATATTCTAAACAATAACTTTACATAATCTTTCTCCAATTTCCTCATCAGACATAGCAAGATTCTTTGTTAGAAAAGTTGAATTCTTCCTCTGCCCAATATTGAAGTTCATATGCTAATTCAATTAGATCGTCATCCGACACTGTAGGGATTTGAAGTATAAGGGTTATGACCTCTGTAACATAATTCTGGATCGTGTCCTTACGCTTCAACTCTCTTAATTTCATTCTTGTATTATAAACAAGATGATTGGCTTAGAATAATTTCTTAAAAGCATCTCAAGTCCGATCTGGACTAACATTTGCCCAATGAGCTGTTACGCTGCAAGCGTTGAAGAAGAGGTTTTGGGGTTTCTAGAGGAAGCTGGAGACTTGGGATTACAGAGTGCCTGATATGGTGGCTGCGGCTGCGGCTGCGAGGTGGATTCACTGGCGACTGTTTAGGTTTCCACCTGTTTAGCGTTCTCAAATTTATATTGTGATGGATTTCAAAAATCATTTTAAATTTAGGTGTCTTTAATTGAAATTTCATTAAAATTTAGGTGTGTCTAATTGAAATTTTATTGAAATTCTTTATAATTTAGGTATCCATAACTAATGAATTTATAAAGATTTTATTAATATAGTAATATAACCAAATCTTTTGAAATTTTGATGAAATTTTGATGGAATTTGGAAAAATCTATTCGAATTCACGAAATTCATTAAAATTTATAATCTTTTAAAATTCATCAAAATCTTGGTCGAGGGCAATCCTATAGTATTTGGAGGGTTATGAAATTAAGGTATTTGGCTGACGTGTAAGCCCAAAACAAAATTAAGTTATTCTAAACGATCTTAACTGAATGAGATTGTATTATAGTAGGAGTGTTTCTAAGGTAATTTACCAAATAAATCAACTTTCCCTTTGAGATTTGATTGTATGCTACATAAGCAAAACCCTAATTCCGTCATCTCTTTTAATCTTCTATAAATTCAGAAAACCTAAAATTCCTCCCATATTTCATTAGTTAATCATAATTATGGGGCTTCTATCTTGGTTCAACAAAAGACAGGAAAAGAAAGGAAAAGAAGATGATTCCAAAGGCCAAAAAAAGAATGAAAAAGCAGTAGATGGTTCCAAAGGCGAGGCAGAAGCTAAACCGAGCGGATATGTGGATGCCATGTCCTTCGGTTCGGCCGCTTCTTCCGAAGCTAAGGCAACTCTGGTTGGGTACTGTCCAGTGTCTATAACTAGAGAGATTCAGCCTTGTACTTGGGCAGTTCACCCGTCTGAAGATCCAGTAGCTCCTCAGTTTTTTATAGTCTTTTGAATAAGAGTATATTTTATTAGGTCTAAAAGTTACTTTTTTAACAAGTAAGTGAAGACATGGGCACTTTATTTTCCCTTTCTTACGTAAAAGTAATTAGTTTTATCTGATTTCATTTTTCTACTTATTATATGCATCAAATTGGCCTTCGTTTTACAGTAATTCATTGTGTACTGTTCTAGTATTAGAACCCCTATGCCCCGAATAATTAGGGTTTTCATTCTAGTAATTGCGTGAATTTTTTTTCCTTAAGATTCATGTGTTTTTTAATGGATAAATGATGTGAATTTTATGCAAAAGTCTGGTATGCTGTATCCTTTGATCTTGTCCAGTTTTTAAATTATTAAAAAATAAATGAAAAATTCTTGGTTTGTAAGTATGTTATATTGGAGAAATTTATTTTCAAAACTTTTATCAATATAAAATTCTAGGCTCGTATGATGAGTAAAATTCTTTTAGACACGGAGATGACTAGACAACCTCTCTACTAGATCATCCCAGCAAAGCGATTAAAAGCGTCTTGGAGCGAATTCCTTTGAAGTAGTTAGTGCTCTAATTGAGCGAGAGTTTAATTTTTAGAAAAATACTTTTTTTTTTTTTAAAGTTGTCTTCGTGTGTGTAACACATGCACTTAATACGAGAATTTGATTTGTTTATGATTAATCCACGAGAACTAGAATTAGGCCTTACAAAAGTTATAGCAACTCGATTACTATGTGCTATGGTTTTATTGTTATTGTTGTTGATGTTTTCTTCTCTCCTTACGTTTTTCATCTTCTCTTTTTCTTTTTTTTCACTGTTAGCTCGCTCAAAATCAAGTCTCTTAATTACGTGAAATCAATACAAGGGATAAATTGGGAATGGGGAGTGGGTAAGGTCACCATAGAAGACAGAGTCACAATGGAGAGGTCGGCGAACCACTGTGTGCAAAGGTAATGATGGTTGGTGCATGGTTGAAGGAGGGTGGCTGATATACCAAGAAAGGTTCCACGAAATCACGGTGACACAATTCGGGTTAGATGATTTGTGGTCAATTTTCAAACTAAATTCTTCGGTAAAATGATTTGGGGAGGATTTTTTTAAACCAAATTCAATTTCCAAACCAAATTATTTCTTGCAATTTGATTTGATTCGTCTCACAATTTTTGAAAGAGTAATGGTATACAAAGTGAGTGACTATCGTAGTCATTCTATATGACATATATTTAATCACTTATTTTAATTTTTAAATCAATAGTACTCACCATGATTAAGGGATTAAGACCCCCTTTGAGTCACATTCATGGAAAAAATGCATTCTTAAACAATGATTTGACATCATTTTAACTACACATTCTTCAATGAAATAATATTACACCACAAATCTAAAACTTTTCATTATTTTTTAATTCCGCATTTTCCATCAATACACCATTCAAAAATACATTCTTATAAAAATAATGTGATTCAAACAATGGCTAAATATATGTCATATATGATGACTTTGATACTCGCTCACATTATTCATGCTTGTACTCATGTCCACAATAAAAAGGAAAAAAAAAAAAAATTCGACATTCCCAACTTAACTTACTTTAAAATTAGCCTATGCCTCCTTTTCTTTCCGTTCTAACCCATCTTGTCCTTTTTCGTATCCATATTTTCACTCTACTATTGAAATTAAGAGTTCATTTGACATAACTTTTGTTTTAGGCTTTTAGCGTTCTGTAGAAGAGTATTTGGAGAAAGTTATCTAAATTTTGTTTAAAAACTAATTTTAAAAAAAATTTATTTCTAAAATACTTTCATAGGAAGTTACATTTGATCAAACTTCTACTAAAAATCCTTCCAACTATATGAAGCACTTTAATAATATTAGTCAAATGGATCCCAAAAATAATTTTTGAATCTCAAAAGCTTCTTTTAATTTTTTAAAGGGAAAAAACCACATTTACCTCACTTAAAAAAAAAAAAAAAAACCTATTCTCTAAATATTATATCCTTAAATATATATCTAAAATACTACATACAATACAATACATAATAATATCTAGAATACATATTAACCCATAATCACTCCGATTAACAACATTTAAAGACAACCCCCAATATTACACTTTATTAGTTGAATCCCCGAAACTTCAGCTAATTCAAATAATTCAATGAAAAGGGTCTTGAGAAGAATGGTGAACATGGTTTGAGAGATTTCTTCCGACTGAATTTCTTTCTTTTTATCTCAAATCTTTCTTTGAAGATTTTGCTGTCAATAGCTGAGCAGTTTAGGGAATCTTATTTGACATAC